CATGTCAACCGGATCAGTTCTCTGTACATAATTCTATGGGATCAATTGTAACGTGTAAGGTATTAAAATGTTCGTCTTGAAATACTCTAACAGTTACAATCTGGCCTTTTTAAAAATCCAAAATGGCGGCCAAGTTCTGACAGATTATATGTCTGAAAAGTAGAAAATATCTAAATAAAACTTCATTTAAGAAGAAAGAAAACGTTCGAATTGGTATTTCATTGATCACCAACACTGCTAGAGGTCTAAAAAATCAAAATATGTTGACACTTTTCAAAATTTTCAGAAATACAAAATGGCGGATCCAATATGGCAGACTATTTTTTAAAAAATGACCCAATTTACTCGAAACTTGTTACTCGGGGGTTTTTGGGGTCGCTGATTACAAATCTGAACTCAATTTTCAAAAATACAAAATGGCGGATCCAATATGGCGGACTGTTTTTTTAAAAAATGACCAAATTTACTCGAAACTTGTTACTCGGGGGTTTTTGGGGTCGCTGATTACAAATCTGAACTCAATTTTCAAAAATACAAAATGGCGGATCCAATATGGCGGACTATTTTTTTAAAAAATGACCTTGTGTTTATTTAAATTTTATTTAAGTCTGTATGTTTTGTCAAAATTTAGAACGAAATGTTTTTTCATCTACACTGAATGAATTTTGGTCAGACTGTAAGCTTTACATAGGAGCCGCCAGATTTTGGAGGTATGATGCGATCCCTAAGACAGAGAGCTCTGGCGGCTCCCATTTAAAACTTGCACTCTGCCCAAAATTCTTTCAGTGTATTTGAGGTTTTTGTTGATTAAACATACACATTATTTTGGTTTTAGTTCTGCAAATTTTCTTCAATTAATTTTAATTTTAGAATTTTTATATGCTTAACCAGTTCATTAAGTAGATTTAAATGTAATTACAATATTTTCTACATAACCTGTTTCTGACCATCCATTCTTAGGTTTAGTCTAGTTAGGCCATTCGCGATTTTTTTGGACAAGTTCACAAGCGTTACCTACGCGCATGCTTGCCGAAGCTTATCTTAGTGAAACCTAACTTTTCGTTCCATTACAATTTCGGAGAATCAAAAGTAGTGTTTTCTGTGACGTCGGTACAAAAAAGCTCAATGAAAGTTTTGTCCATCATGTGAAAAACCATTAATAAAAGATAAAAAAATGGAATCATCAAGGTAAGCAAGCAGAAATTTTGTGGGACTCATGGTTAAAAAAACAAAGTTATTTTATTATTTTATTAAGTTACAAGCTGTAAACAATAAAAGATCAATTTTCCGTTACTCAAAAAAAGGTGGTCCGACTATACTGCCCTATATAAGTGTGAAAATATTAAATTTGGTCATATTTTAAAAAAATAGTCCGCCATATTGGATCCGCCATTTCGTATTTTTGAAAATTGGGTTCAGATTTGTAATCAGCGACCCCAAAAACCCCTGAGTAACAAGTTTCGAGTAAAGTTGGTCATTTTTTAAAAAAATAGTTCGCCATATTGGATCCGCCATTTTGTATTTTTGAAAATTGAGTTCAGATTTGTAATCAGCGACCCCAAAAACCCCTGAGTAACAAGTTTCGAGTAAAGTTGGTCATTTTTTAAAAAAATAGTTCGCCATATTGGATCCGCCATTTTGTATTTTTGAAAATTGAGTTCAGATTTGTTATCAGCGACCCCAAAAACCCCCGAGTAACAAGTTTCGAGTAAATTGGGTCATTTTTTAAAAAATAGTCTGCCATATTGGATCCGCCATTTTGTATTTCTGAAAATTTTGAAAAGTGTCAACATATTTTGATTTTTTAGACCTCTAGCAGTGTTGGTGATCAATGAAATACCAATTCGAACGTTTTCTTTCTTCTTAAATGAAGTTTTATTTAGATATTTTCTACTTTTCAGACATATAATCTGTCAGAACTTGGCCGCCATTTTGGATTTTTAAAAAGGCCAGATTGTAACTGTTAGAGTATTTCAAGACGAACATTTTAATACCTTACACGTTACAATTGATCCCATAGAATTATGTACAGAGAACTGATCCGGTTGACATGGAACGTCCCCTATTTATCCCTCCGAGATGGTTAAAAAACATTTAACCTTAAATACAGTCTGTTTGTCCCTCCAGATAGTTTGTTGAATACTCCATTTTTCTCTATGCATTATTAAAAAAGTTAAGATTAACTTTTAGGAAGTTAAAGTTAACTACTGGAAAAATACATTCATATTGTCTCGTTATACATGATCGTGTAGTACAGTATAAACCAATCATTGGGATTATTAAGAAGTTATAAGAAGTGGTGGGGAGAATGAAGTGGAGAGGTATGTAAGACACTTTCCTGAAGTAGAAACTCATTTCTAATCTAAAATGGAGTTCATAGTAGGCGTTCAAGGTTTCAAAAAGCAATGTAATGAGTTTATTTTTAAAGAATTGGCCATAGTTCCTCTGGAGGCAGATGCTCAACCAAGAGTTTACCTCTTTGAACCATCTTGTGCTTGGAATTCACTACCTGGACGTTACAAACGTGAAAACCTGTGGTTTACAAACAATTATCATTCAATCCCTTGGATGGCTGGAGATGTGTGTTACGATGAAGTGCGAACCATTTTACAGGATGTATTATGAGGAGCAAAGACTATCTATGTTAATGGTTGTGAAAAAAGCAGTGGTTAGAAAAATATTTAATGAATGTACACAATTTAGAAGAAATTGACTGTCCAGCGTTTAAGAATATTAAAACTGCATTTTTTACTACCCACATGTACACATCATATTACACAAACTGAAAATTGTGCAGTAAATAATATATTTAAGCTTCGAAATTGGTTTTCAAATGTAACGAATTAACTGAGAAACTTCTCATATGGTATCGATGAAGTGGATGATGTGAATACTAATTTAAAATCATTTTATGAAAATTATGAAAAACTATCGTAATAAGTTTAAATTTCTATATACATTTGAAAAAATGAATTTTATAATTTTAAAAATGTTGTCTTTCTTTCTTTGTATACATACTCCTTTAATACTATATACTTGAAAAAACAAATTTTTTTTCTTTAACTTTAATAAAAATTGACTTATACAATTTTATACAAAATTTAATTATTTAAAAACTTGTTTGAAATATGAAGGTAGAAAAGGTAGAAAAGGTAGAAAAGAAGGAATTTAAAAGTAATTTTTTTTATTATTATTATAAGCCTTTAAATATTTACATAATTTTTACGGTATAATCTTATAATATTTATTTTTATTCAAATTCAATAACATTAAATTTACCACCCATATATTTTAAACGCAACTTCTCCGATTGCACGGCTTCTTCCATCATTATGAAGGAGGTAGGGTCAGCTTCAAATAGTTTTGCGAACCTTGCCGGAAGAAAAGTTGTAAAAGCAGCATCCAGGTCTACTACAATCCTGGAACCATATTTCGTCTGCACCTTGTTTATTTTAGTTACATTGTATGACTCATTCACAGTCAACTCAGAAAGTGGCTTCGTTGGTAGAAATCTCTCCATACGACCAATGGCGTTGACTTTTTGGAACTCCATTGTTTTAATATTTGTAAGCAAAGAAAAAAGATGTATTCTTAATATTGAATTTTAGCTGACACTGCTAATGTTGCTGTAGATGCTGAAGTTGTTGATACTGTCGATTATGTTGGAGTTACTAATGATGATGAAAACTGAAGCAGAAGTGTCGAATGTGGATTCCAACTTACCTTATACCTTTTAAATCCCACTCTTCTTCAACTCTCACTCTTTTACCCCTACTTTAACGACTGCGCACGCAACTACCTCAAAAGAAGAGTCATTTAGAAGACGTATTCAAACTCGCATAAAATGACGTCACTAAAAGGGTTTTTAAGGAATGTCTTTGTTCTCATCTACAGTCAGGTTAAAACCTGTCTAAAGGTTTTTTAGACAAGCTCTTTATTCTATTCAAGATGCAGGTTGAAGCTTGTTTAAAGATTTTCAAATAATACTATTGTTATCTTGGAAAAAGACAAGTTGAAACTTGCTTACATATTTTTGGACAATACATTTATCCCTATGGTGCTATAGTATTAGTAAAGCAAGCTGTGAGAGTCAGACAGACAGGTCTGACGCATGGAACTTTCACTCACTCAACGCGGTAACCGTACGCGCACTTTCGCTGCGCACTGGGCCTTACCACACCACCCACCACCACCCACTCCCACTACCCACAACGCCTGCGCGGTATCTCGCGAACGCTTAGTCCCTTGCGCTTCTCTATATGATTTTTGAAATTTCTGGTTTATACTAAGTGGGTGGTGGTGGGTGGTAGTATTGGAAATATGTATATAATAGAAAAAAGTGGGTGGGGGGTAGTGGTTAACTAAGAGCAATGTATTTTACATAGGTGAGTGGGTGGTGGGAGGGGGTGGTATTTGCATATTCTACGTCCAAAAGGGTGGATAGTGGGTGGAATTTGCATAAACTAAAAGGGTTAACAATGAAAGTTAAATAAGCAAATCAAATACCCCACTAACGTCAATTAAAAGGGTTAACTAATTTAAATATATGCAAATCAGGTACCCCACCAATGGCTGGTAAATTACCGACATATACCCCACTAACGCCATCTAGTGACAGAAACTTATACCCCCACCAATGGCTGGTAAATTACCGATGTATACCCCCACTAACGCCATCTAGTGACAGAAACTTATACCCCCACCAACGGCTCGTAAATTACCGACATATACCCCACTAACGCCCTGTAACTTACCCTCGCGGTCGGTTTGTAGGAATCTACATTACCGATACGACGTAGAACCGGCATAGCTATACTACTGACTGTCCACGACAAAACACGACTTAGGTCAAAAAAATCAATTTGGAGTTTTTTTATGACAATCGACAGATTTTATGTTGCTTTTTCAAATCCAAAAGTCAAAAGTTAAAAATATAAATTACTTTCGACAATATATCGTTTTAAAGATGGGTATGTCAAGCGTAGTTAACTCAGGCGCGGATCCAGGGGGGGCCACAGTGACATGCCACCCCCCCCCTCGAGAATTCAAACTTTCTGGAATTTTCTAAATAAAAATTTCATTCATAATAGTGTAATGGGGTAAAAATAAACACAAGATAATTCTTTTAATAACATAAACGATAACCGTGGTTATCGTGTTTAGTTTATTTTAAATATGTGGTTTCAATACAAAATTTACCTTACGACTAATTTGACTGACGCTGGCCCTTCAATTTATATACAAGTTGGAAGTGGGTCAATATACCAATGATGTTAAAAATAGTGAAAGGTACAAAAGTTTCAAATTTATTTTAGGGTCTGTGGAAATATAGAAAGCTATTATATATTTTGATAAAGGTATTTAGATTTTTAGAGAAGAGAAAGTACCTATGCTTTACACCTCCCCATTTAGAGTATTTTTGGTCTCAAAAAATGTTATTTTTTAGGTTTTATTTTAATTGATTTAGTATTGGTAACAGGTAGACTTATATTTTCATCGGAGTACTGGTATCGGAGTATTGGTGTCGGTGTATATTGTACCTTTGGACTGTTTATAACTTTAGTTTTAACGCAAAACAAACATAATTGTCTTGGAAAACATTTGGTGATTAAGTCTAGAATTCCACATTTATACAATATTAAAATGGTTAATAATACAGTGGATGTATATCTAATATAAGTTAAGGTATCTATGGTTTTTTCAGTCCATGATTTAGATCTTCTGTCAGATTTAACTTTGTTTATAGCAATTTCAATGTTGTCTAGAGTTTGACTAAATTCTTTAAGAATCGTAGGATGAACTTCTCTTTTTAGAGGAAACAGTTTATCTTTAATAATATCTAATTGGTCTTCGTCGAATGGTAACGTTACATTTTTTTCATATTTTATATTGGTTTTATAGGTAAGTTGTGGTTAAATTCGTATGATTATGTTTAACCCACTAACAATACAGTTTTCGTCGCTCGAAATTTGTGTGGGTTGATTTATAGTGGTCTGAAAGGTTTTGGATTTTCATTGAAAATCTAATTGTACAGAGTTTTCAGGTATAAGTATCTGGGTATCATCTTGTAATAATATATAAGCTAAAGTATCTATTTTGAATAAAGAAAATCTACAAATTTCATGTTTTAAATTTTTGATAGAATATCTTATTATGCTTGAATCACAACTTTCGGACCTTGGAGCGCATTAGGGTCTGCCAATGGGATTTCGTCGGTAGGATTGTCTCTGACCAAGGGGTTTTCTTCTATGGCGAGTCGAATGTTCTCTGGCTCTTCTGGCTGTTGTGGTGCTGGGACTGCTTGTACGGCGCGTCTAATTTTGAGCTCGATGGCGAGTTGGCTGCGCTTGGCGATGGCTTCTTGGATCATGCGCTTCCTACAATCATGACAATTAGGATCTGGTAGGTTGCGTGGTCTCCAACAGCATTTACAGCGCAGATGATGTGGCAATGACTTCGGCATCTCGGTGTAGTGAGGCCAGGGTCAATCTTCGGTCGAAAAATCCGGGTGAGAGCAGATCTGACAAAATTGTCCAGAATATTCTTTAGGACAGGATCGAAAATTATGTCCAATGACTCCACAGTTAAGGCATCCGGGTGGGGCCTTAGGACGGAGTCTTGGTTCGCGCAGTTCTGTTAAGGAGACATAAACCTCCTGGATCCGGTCTTTGAATAGTCTCCGCAAGCGCTTGTATAATCCTTCTAAGTAATAATAATCTTCTGCGTAGGAATCCACATCAGCCTTATGTTGAGCACATAATTGTTGGGAAGACTTAAGTTTCTCTTCTGCAGTGGCTAAGCGGTCGGATAGCCCATTGCATTTTTCATTCAGTTGAGTGATCTGACAAGCTTGGTCGGAGATTACCGCATTGTATGGTGTAGTTGCTGCACTAGTAACTTCACGACGTAGTTCATTTATTGATTTAGTGGCCTCGGTCAATTGAGAAAACAGGGTGTTTCTTTCGGCGATAAGAGCATCAAAACCAAATTTGGTTAGCGCGACTAGTCCTGTAGGGACCTCCTGAAATTCGAGCTTGCCTTTATCGACGCAGTTGCCCTCCGGAGTAAATTGCAAGGCCTTAACTTCAGCTGCATCCGATGTAGGGATAGGTAGTTGGTCTGCTTCCGGGTTCCTTTTTGTTGACTCCATGGCGCTACTGAAAACGAATTTACAAATTGGTACGCGATCTGAGGTTTTTCCTAGCTACTGTTAGATCGTTTACATGATATTTTCCTAGTTTTTTACCATGCGCATCACAGATGACGACTATCGTGGGTGACAATTTTTCTTTGCGCCGGGCCTTTGAAACGTGGCGCCAGTTTGGAACTTTAACCTCGCGCGGCATTTGACAGAGTATTGTTAGGATAAAATACGAGATCTCCAGGTTGGAAATTAATGTCATTCTTCCGATTTTTGTTATAAGCTTTACCTTGTTTCTTGCTAGCTTTAATCATGAATTGTTCAACTTTTGCGCAAAGTGCATCTATATGTTTTAAACGATCTAACCAAGTGTCAATTGTTTCGTCTGTAACAGTGTTAGTATTTGTGTCGCGTGGGGGTTCACCTGTTCGTCTTGGTTCACGAGCGAAACTCAAAAAGGCTGGTGTGACTCCAAGAGAAGTGTGAACTGTGGTGTTATAAGCGAACTGAATATCTTCGAGAAGAATATCCCATTCGCGTTGGTTACGATGTAACATTGCGATTTACGAACTCGGTACCGTTGTCGGTGATGACAATTCTTGGCACTCCCCAGCGGTTGACAAGAGTGTTTAAGGATTTTACAATCTTTGGACCGTCTGCTTTGGATAGCGCAAAGCAGTCTATATAACGAGTATATGTGTCTTCACAAACTAGAATGTAATTTTTACCAGATTTCGACCGAGGTAGGGGCCCTACGATATCGAGTGACACTGTTTCCCAAGGTTCCGTAATTTTGCGCGGATAGATTAAGCCTTGTGGGGGTGTATTTTTTGGTTTACACTTGAGGCAAGTCTCGCATTCATTAACATAACGCTTGATGTCTTCGCTCGGTAATAATCGGTAAAATTTCATTTTCTCTAAGGATCTTTTTTCAGGCATTATTATCGCCGATGGTTTCTTTAACCATATTTGGTTTATAATAGTATAGTTGATTGTTCGAATCGACTTTATATCTTTCGTAGCGCGAGGGATCTTTACGAACTTTTTCTAGCATCTGATCGTACCAACTTTGACTTTTAACAGAATTTAGTTCGGTAACGTGCGTATCGTTAGTATCGTCTTCGTAAAGTCGCGAAAGCGTTTCCGGCGCTTCATTAGTTGTACCTTTTCTGTGCTCAATCTTGACGTTATTTGCGGACAGCTCGAGAGCCCATCGCGCAAGTCTACCTTTTGGGTCTTTGAGACCTTGCAACCAAATTAAACTGGAATGATCTGTTATCACAGTAAATTCAGCGCATTCGAGGTAGCAGCGGAGCTTCTTAATAGCGAAAATCACAGCCAAGCATTCCTTTTCAGTGGTGGTGTAATTTAATTCAGCACCTCTTAAAGGTCTGCTTAGGCATGTGATTAAGTATTCTTTTTCTCCATCTTGCTGTGTCAAGATAGCACCGATACCGGTGTCACTTGCATCGGTATACAAGTAGAATGGTAAACCGGGCCTAGGCGCGACTAAAGTTAAAGCGCTTTTTAAGGATTCTTTAACTTCGTTGAATGCGGCCTCATGTTCTTCGGTCCAGTTCCAAGGTACTTTTAGACTTGCTTATTTATTTAGCGGTCCTTGCACTTTCGCAATATTGCGCAGGTGCCGATGGTACCAGTTGACTGAGCCGTTGAACCGGCGTAATTCTTTTCGATTACGAGGAGTCGCTCGTTCGAGGATTGGTTCGACGCGCTTTGCATTTGGTTTTAAACCGTCTTTGTCGAGGATGAAACCTAAATATTCTACCGACGATTTCGCGAAATAAGATTTGTTGGACAATCCTCCCTCCTGTAGAATGGTAAGGACTACATCGAGAAGCAGAATATGTTCTTCGAAAGTTTTGGATATTATTATCCAATCGTCGAGATACGCGTGAACTTGTTCGCAATAATGTTCGGGCAGATTTTTAGCGCGAATATGTTCTACGAACTTTTCTTTCAATCTATCAGTTAGAGCTTGGAAGGTTGCCGGCGCATTTGTAAGTCCGAAGGGCATTCTGACCCATTCAAACTGTCCACGACCAGGGACGACGAAGGCGGTATATTCGCGCGATTTCGGGTCAATTGGTATGTGGTGAAACGCGTCGGTCAAATCAATAGTACTAATAATGTTGGCCTCAGATAGCGCATCAAGTATGGTATCCATACGTGGCAAAGGGTATGCTGACTTCTTGGTGTTTTTGTTTAACATTCGAAAGTCCATGCATACTCTAGGCCTACCGTCTTTGCGGTATGTGAGCACTACTGGGCTTGCAAAGCGTCCGTTGCTTCTAACTATAAACTTTTTATCTAAATAAACATCAATTTGATCATTAATAATTTTGTTCGCTTCTAAGCTACGGCGATAGGGTTTTAATTTAAATGGCGTTGGATCGGTCAGCTCTATAACGTGTGTCGTTAAATTAGTGACACCGGTTTCTGATGTAAATTTTGATAATTTTTCATCTAGAAACGCATTTAATTTATCCCTTTGTTCCGGAGATAATTCGATTAGTTGGGCCGAATTTAGGAAGCTACGCGCATTGGAATTGGAGCCTGAAGGGTGACGAGTCGTTGACCCTTTCATGGACCAATAACCTTGGCTTGCGTCAATAATAACTTGCCAACTAGTTATAAAGTCCATGCCTAAAATGACTGGTGTAGTTAGACCGTCGAGAACAGCAAACCATATTTTACCGTGGCAATTATCTATTTCGATGTCGAATTTTACGGAATGGCGAGGTGCGGCTACGTGATCGCGTTGCGCGAGGTGTACGCCGCATCCTTAATCGGGTCGCCGTTAGCTAAACTTTCGAGTTTGTCGAAAAGTTCTCCTGACATAAAAGTTCGATCACTACCTGTGTCAAGAAGCGCTGTTATTTTTTCGTTACCGATTTTGATTACCGTGGAAATTGTACATCTTTCCTGAGGCGGTGAGGGCGATGCGTGCCCTTTGTGTACTCTGCGCTTAGTTTTAACAGTCAATACAAATAAATTGTTTGACTGATTAATCAATGGCAACGATCTGAGTGAAGATATGCACGCGCCTATTGTGGGAGAGAAATCTTCCTCAGATTCAGAGTACTCCGTCTCAGATTCAGAATATAAGCAATCATCATAATCGCTCTCAGAATCACTAGTATCAATCCTGCCTGCATGCGCTTTGTTTAGCGTTGATGCTATTTGAGGATTGTACGTTGGTTCATTAGCGATAGGAATGCTTGCTGAATTTGAAGAAGTATCAATTTCGTTTGAGTTATTTATCGGTCGATTTTCGTTTTGTTTTGATGGGGTTTTGCCAGGGAGATCTAGTCTCTCCTGGCATCTCTTTCGTTTTTTGATTGCGAGTTATTATCGTGCGCGTTGTGACCGAAGTTTTGTGGGTAATCGCGGTTGTAATTACCGTGCCATGGTGGCTGCGTTGGTTGCGGTGGAGGCGCGTGCGGGGGACAAGGAGGTCTCACGTTTTGCGCGCTGCACTGGCAATCTAGCTGGTAGTACTGCGAAGAGTGGGGGGAATTGTGGTAGTAGTCTTGGTTGTGATTGCGACCACGGCCACTACCATTCCAACAATTGTTGTAACCGCGTCCGCGATTATTTTGATTATTACCGCCTCGGTGGCCATTTCCACGACCACGAGGATTTTCGCTTTTCTTGTGCGCAGACGATCTACGCTTTCCCCCCCCTTTCTGCGACGAAGCAGAGCTTGAGGAGCGAGAAGAAGTAGAAGTGGAACGTTTGCGCGATCTGTGAGAAGACGAAGGTTTGTTTGGACTGATCAAAGCGCTCTTGGATTTACTCGCTTTGGAATTTTCTGCGTCGCTTATATTTAATTTTTGTTTAAGGGACTCGAACTGTTTTTGATAGATGTCTATTTTATTTAATTTTTGTTCGGGCTCTGGTTTCGCTTTCTGTTTACTTTTATTCGCTTGTTTTTGTTTGTTTTCTGTTTTAGTTTCTTTTTCCGTTAGTTCGCCTGAAGAATTTTTAGATTGCGAATCAATTGCATTTAATTGGTTTCTATTGCGCGGGTTACGAGACCGTTTCGCGTCTTGTTCGCGCAATTTATTCGATTGTTGCATGAATTCGATTTTTTCTAGATACTTGCGTATCTTATCTAAAAGTTCTTCATAAGAGTTGAAGCTGTCGCGATCGAAAAGAGAAATTAGTTCCAAATGTAGGCTTAGATAAATTTTATCGAGCTGAATGTTTTGTGGAATTTTATTTCTCAATTTGTTATAGAGCGCGCCAATTTTTATGACATAGTCTATCCCTGTTTCATTTTCCAATTGAACCACGCGATGAATTTTATTGAGGATTTGGTTATCGTCATTTACATCGCTGAATGTTTTTCGGAATGATCTAGAAAATTCGGTCCATGTTGTCCATTTATGGCGAAACATGTTGAACCATGAATACGCTGTTTCTGTGAGCGTTTGGGAGAAAATCAGGAGCGCGTCGTTGGGATTGATCGCAGATGCTAACATTTTTCTTTCACATTCATCGAGAAATTCGTTCGCGTCTAATTTTCCCGGAAATTTGAGATCCCACGATTTAATGATTTTATGTAAGTTTTGAACTTGAGTTCGTTGCGCGATAGAGGCGTTGAGAACCGGGTTCAAAGGAAGGTCAATTAAATCGTGTTGATTTCTGTCGTTTATGTTTTCGGGAGTTGGAAACATAAGATCTGGTTGTTCTGCGAAATGTAGTGTGCGATTTGCAGGAGGTCCTTGTCGCGAAGGTGTAAACGATAGTGGGGGGTGTATCGGCGCTGTGACTGTGGTTGCGCTTTGCGTTGTAGTCAAAGTGTTACCCGTGAATGTGACCGTGTTTGTGGTTGTAGTGGGGGGTAAACTAATTTTTTGCGCGATGTGTTCGCCACTGTCGTCGAATTCCCAACGAGAGTCGTGCCATGGAGATGGCGCGTGTCTCGTTTGGATTTGTGACATTTTTTTTGTGAGGTCCTGTATGTTAGCTGACATTTCGGCGCGAAGTTTTTCAATTGATTTGGATGTTTCTTTGCTTAGCGCGGTTATTTCGAGGCGATTTTCGTTATACGCATCGAGTGTTTGTTGACGCGTATTTTCGAGATGGTGTCGGAATATTTGTCGCATATCATTTTTAAATTTTTTATTTTCTTCTGCTTGGGTAATTGCAAAATTTTCTATTCGTGTGTAGAAATGTCTTAATTGTGTGTTAGTTACTGGGGTTTTCTGTACTTTAGATTTGTGAACCCGGCGATGGAGCGTTAATTTAGGAAGTGTTCCTGATGAGGGTTGTGAAGGGTTAACTGTGTGAGTGTCCCTTAATGTGTTGGTTGTTCTATCTTTTAAAATGTTCCATTCGTGAATTGGAGTTGTATTGGCGCTAGCTTGTTCAGTTTCTACGTCAGCGTTGTTTATTAGGCTAAAATTTTCCGCTGGTGTAGGGGGCCTAGGTTTTTCCTTATCGGTCGAAAAAAGAAGCGTTAAATTTTCACTAGTAGCGCGCCACATTTCGTTTTGTTCGTCGCGCGTTGTAGTGTTGTTATTTTTTTTGGTGGACAGTGGGGGGCTGCGAGACATTTTGTCGCTTCTTTTAAATGCATTCGTAACAGAACGAGTTTGCATTTTTTGTGTGTGTGATTTTGGGCTTCTTCTTCCCATGTTCAAAAAGTAGAAACAAAAGAAATTTATTTTCGCAAAAAAAATTTTTTTTTTGTCAATAATAAGTTACTTTAGTTAATTGGCTAAATCAACCTGGTTAACTTTAAGGAAGGGAATAGAAAAAAAAATCTTTTCGAAATAATTTTTTTTTTTTTAAATAGGTGATTTGATCTATATATTGAGAAAAGAAAAGAAATTTGGTTTGCGATTTTAATGAAATTAAATTTTGCGCTAGGGAAGGTAAAATAAAAATGTTTTATTTTCCTTTATTTGATAAATTTAATTGTTGATAAATTTTTATTTTATCAATTTGAAAAGAGAAAAAAAAATTTCAATTTATTTTAATTTTGTTAATTAAAAAGAATTAATTTATTTTTTAATACATTTTATTCCTTTTCTTAAATTAATCAAGTTGTAATTTCTTTTCTATATTCTCTCTGAGATTGCACAAGGTTTTATTATATTTGAATTAAAATTTTATTTTGCTCAAGAAACAAGGGCAGCTACAAAGGAGTACGCAAAATTTGTAAATATTGTCGTATTTACTCTTGAAATACGCTGGAAATCTCGTTTTGTAGCACTTTAGGCTATAGTAGAAACAAGAAACGATAATTGATTTGAATAATTTATTTTGATCTATTTTGTAGAGTGAGATTGGTGCGAGCGAAAGCAGTGAGAGATCAGGGAAAATTGAGCATGCTTAATTTGATAGAATTTATTATAATAAATAAAATTGATAAAGCAAAATTAAGCATTGTCAAATGGCAATAAGTTAAGGAAATCTGGTTAGTTTCTTTAATAATATGACATTTAGCGCGAGGGAATAATTCGAAAAAAAGATTGAATTATTTTCGAAAATAGCAGCTGACTGCTGTTCAGGTGCGTAAAGGCATAAAGTTGTGTGAGTGTCAATGTAGAGAGTGGTCTTGGCGTGACGTCATAATGGCGGCACATGTAAGAGAACTCTCGACGAAGCACGCACAAAGAAACGAATTTAGAAAGATTTACTAAAATACGCGTTGGGCGCCAAAAATGTGATCGCCAATATAAGCTTTAGAATTAAAATTAATTGTTAAAAAATGGGGGTTCGACTTACATTAAGGAACACAATTAACCAACCAAAATTCCTTGACTTAGAAAATTTCCATCGTCCTTCTTTCCGAGCATTGAGCCAAGATAATAGAGAAATCCAACAAACTTACTACTTTTCCTCGTATACGAAGTGCAGGTGAATGTCGAAGATAAAGGCACAAGATTGAATAAAACAAGGCACAATATAAAATAGAAAACTATAATTTTTATTCGTAACAACAATACAACTAAGCGCAGAGGCCTATAGTTCGCACGAGGTTCGCAACCAATCTATCTGATATTTCGCACAAAAGCAACATGTGCTTTTGTCGTCTGCTACTTGCGGTGCGTACGGCGTCTGGTGGCAAAAGTTGGCGCTATGGCGCGATTTACAAAAAATGAAATATTAATAGTAATTAGTATAATTCGGGTAATGGCAACGATATATTCAGATAATAATGATTTTGATCATTACAGCATATCTTGGATACTAAGAATATATCCATTTCCAGAATATGTCAAGGGTAAAGGTCCGAATATGTCCATAGCTATTTTTTTCGTTAGGATTCATAGGTGTGTCAGGAATTATTGCTTCTTCTTTTCTTTTTATTCGAGTAGTTTTTTGGATTTGACATATAGCGCACTTTTTGACAAAGCTAATTATTTCATCTTCCATGTTTTTCCATTCTCCAAGTGTTATTGCTCTTTTAATAGATTTATTTTCACCGAAATGTTGTGCCATTATAGATCCGTGAGCTTCTTTAATTATTGTTTCTTTTTCACTTTGTGTTAATTCTGTCCTTGAATTGTAGCAACTAAATATTCCTAGCGTAGGATATTTGCTTCCTATGAAGGATAATAGTATTTTTAACCGACTTTTTTCAGTGGGTGTGATGGTAGGATCATTAAAATGATATCTTACAATAGTCAATTTTTTACTAACTGTTTTGTTGGCTAGCATGTTTAGTATTGTTAACCACTCTCGTTCGTCAAATTTTGGAAGGACTGTAGTATTCAGGGTTTCAGTTGGTCTTTTTTGTAGTTGGTTCCATAACTTCCCGTGAGCATTAGGTTTCACTACTTCTCTTGAGGGGGTTTTATTTTGTGTCCATTTCCTATATTCTTGATAGAGGTTTTTATTGAATTTAGATTTTGTTATATTTTCGTCTAACTCCTTAATAAGTGATTGCGGATTTTGTTGAATTTTTGGTAATGATAAATCTAAGGCTTGATCAGTTGTATTTTCTTGTATGGGAAAAATTCGCGATAAACAGTCTGCTACTTTATTTTCTTTACCTTTTATATATTCTATATCTTCATAGTTATATTCTTCTAGTCTTAGTTTCCACCTAAGTAATCTTGATGAAGGATCTTTTATATTTTTTAACCATTTTAAGGCTTGATGGTCTGTTTGTATAATGAATGTCCTACCTAACAAATATTGTCTAAGCCTCCGTACAGCCCAAACAATTGCTAGTAATTCCTTTTCTGTTGTTGAATAATTTAATTCGGCCTTGTTTAATGTTCGAGATATGAAACAGCATGGATGTCCATCTTGTGCTAAAACAGCTCCTAGACCTACATTTGAGGCATCGGTAGTTAGGACGAATTTTTTCGTGTAGTCAGGATATCTTAACACGGGCGTAGAACATAATGATGCTTTTAGAAGATTGAAAGCTTCGTTGCTCTTTTCTGTCCATTTGAAAGGAGTGTCCTTTTTTGTAAGTTCTGTAAGTGGTTTAGCTATTGTGGAAAAGTTTTTTATAAATTTCCTGTAATAACCGGCAAGTCCTAAAAATGATTGAGTTTCTGTTATGTTTCTTGGTGTTCTAAAATTTGTTATTGCTTCAATTTCTAATGGGTTTGGTTTCACACCTTCTGAAGTTATAAGATGTCCTAAAAATTCTAACTCAGGTCTCAAATACTCACATTTGTCAGGTTGTAATTTTAGTCCAACTTCTCTTAATCTGTTGAATAGTTTAATCAAGTTGTCGTTATGTTTTTCCAAAGTATTGCCAAAAATGATTATATCATCTAAATATACAAAGCATATTTTTCCATTTAATCCTTGTAGAGCATTATCCATCATGCGTTGAAAGGTAGCAGGTGAATTTTTTAGACCAAATGGCATTCTATCAAATTCAAAATGTCCTTCTGGTGTTGAAAAGACAGTGTACTTTTTTGAATCTTCGGACATTGGAATTTGATGAAATCCGGAACTTAGATCGAAAGCGGAGAAGAATTTAGCATTTCCAAGGGATTCTAAAATATCCTCAATAATTGGGAGTGGATATGCATCTTGATCTGTTTCATCATTTAATTTACGAAAATCAATGACGATTCGCCATTTTTGTTTTCCCGAGGCGTCAACTTTTTTCGTAACCACCCATAATGGGGAATTAAAAGACGAATTTGAATCACGTATAATTCCCTTTTTATAGAGTTCGCCAATTTGTGTCTTGACTTCTTCTTTATGACATGCAGGAGGTCTATATGATTTAATGTTGATAATTTTATTATTTTTAAGAACTATAGAGTGTTCTGTTAGATTTGTACAGGGTAATGCATCTCCTTCCAAAGTAAAAATGTCATTATAACTTGCGATAATTTTCCAAATGATATTTGTATTTTCTTTATCTATGTGGTCTAATCTTGAGTTTTTCCGTAAATTTTCAATCCTTTTTGTGAGATTAGTAGTTTTATTTGGATTTTGTGACTGTGTTGTTTCTTGTATACTTAGAATGTGGTCATATTTTATCTTCTGTGGTTTAAGCATAGGTTTGTAATCATAATTATAGATAGGAAAAATTACCTCGTTATTTTTTATTCGGTAAATTCCGTCAGGAATATTTTCATTATCTTCTAGAAAAATATCACCATCGTCGTCATTTACTTGAATTCGCATTACCTGGGCAGTGTGTCCAGAGATAAATTCTTCATCATCATGAAGGGGTAGTTTTATTTTATTTAAATACAGATATTTAGCTGTTATGCTGTATCTATTACATGCTTGGAGAAAGGGGATGCCAATGATACCTGCTTCCGGTAGTGGAAAGTTATCATCGACAACATGAAAGAGATGTTTTTTTTCTAAATAATGTATATATACAGCTTCATGTGAGTAGTTTATACTTTTACCCATAAAAAATTTTTTATGTTGGCAATATCGTTTGGTCTTGTCTGGTATCTCAGAAGATTTTATCAAATTAATCGATGAACCGGAATCTACTAACAAACTGAAGGTTCTTCCGTTTGCGTGTCTTCCTCGAATGGAAAGTAGTCGTCCGCATATTGCTGATACTCTGCTGTCTGTTCGTAATGGTTTATTTCTTGTTGTTCTTCTGTCGTAATTATTTGTTCTTCTAAACAAGGTTCCCATATTTGTTCCTTTTGAGAATCTTCCAGTAATATCTTGTTCACCTGTGGAGGTCGTTTCGGATTTTGACCTTGGATAAAATTTTGTTTCTGTTTATTGTAACACTGGTTTTCTAAGTGTCCCATTTTCTTATAGAAATTACAGAACATTTGTATGCGTTGTTGTAAAGGTAGTCCGTGATTTGGAACACTGGTAGGCTGGTTCCTGACTACAGGTGTGTTTCCTCTTGAAAAGTTATTTATTACTGAACGTCTTATAGGCATATGATCAAATGGTTTTCTTGTTGTCGAGGATATGGCAGCTCTGTTTCTTGCTTTTTCCCTACACCAAATTTCTGCATCTAATGCTTCTTGAAATGCTTTGTTTAAATTTGTAGGTTTCAATGGTCTCACTTGATTACTAATATCTTCTCTTAAATTCATTACATATCTTCTAGTTGCTGATTTTTCTTCGATATTTGATGCTAATTTTCTTTACATAGGGTGATTATGTTCAGCTTGGATAGCATAGTTAAGTTCGTTGAATACTGCGCGAAATCTTTGATTGTATTGTTGTACTGTTTCTGTGGTCTGTTTTACGCTTTCCAATTTTGCCCTACATAATTCTACTGATGTATCTGTTACTAGATGTGTTCTTAAACATTGAAATAAATCTTCGAATGAATCTATAACATTATATCTTATGCATCTTTTGGCATTTCCCGTAATTTTTTCGGTTAATATAAAATCTAGTAATAAAGAGGGTTGAGAACAATTTTTATTGCTTTTTTAACTGTTTTTATGAAGTCATTAACTTCTACGTCGTCACTACCGTTTAAAATTTCTACCGTTCTAATAATATCTTTTGCTAGTGATAAAGGTTCAGTATTGGGTTTAAAGGTTTCTTTTTCTTTCCGATTTGTTTCTAGTTCTTCTTCAGATTCCGAGGTAGGCGAGTTTCGGATATGTGAAGCTTCATTATCATCATCCGTAATTAATACTTCTGCGTGCCTAGCTAATAGTTTAATTTCTTCTGCTCTTTTTAGATTTTCCTCGTTTAGTGTTTTAAAATTATTTTTCAATAAGGTTTGTCCTTCTTGAATTATTTGGAGTTGTGCCATTATCTGCATTAATGGGTCTGTAGTTCCTTCAGAATTATTAGTGGGATTTAAACTCATTTTGAAGGAATAGAGGAATGGATTGTTGATTAAGGAGATAATGTCTTCTGAATCGCTGGATTCTGTTTGTGTTGAATAGTTTTTTTGTAGATTATCTCTATAATTTTCAAAAGCCAGTTTTGTTTTTGAAGTTTTAGTTATTTGATTTTGAAAAAAAAATTTAACTGTAGAGTCGTTTTACAATACTACTTTAATTTATTGGGGTAATTTATTTAATTTTACCACGTTGTATCTAATGACGCAAGCCTAAAATACCGTAAGTATTTCTTACTTTACTTTACCTGATTGTCGTAACAATCAGTCACCGTTCAACGAATGCAAAAAAGATTTATGCTCAAGAAATACTTTTAACAAAAATATATATATATATTTTTTCAATTCTATCTTATTTGTAGAGTATGCTTACATTGAATTGAATATCCGCTTGATTCAGGATCCTTCCGTGCCTATGTTTGGATTGTGTATCCGCCGTTTAGGATATCCTCTGGATTATTCTGCTTCACTCTCGTACAGCTTTGTTTTTGATGTACTGTGTCTTCGTAGTAAGGAGCCTACTTAATTCAGCCACCTCTGATCACAGTAAGTTGAACTAGTCTCCGTAGAAACTAGGAGTCGATGAAGAAATATTTTTCTTTAGTTCGAATCACAGGATCTGCCCGTTTGAATGTTTATAGGATGAATATAACTCCGTAGTGTTACTTAAATTCCTATCCAATCGTTTGACAGATCCTGGCAGGATCGCCAGAAAATGTAATGGGGTAAAAATAAACACAAGATAATTCTTTTAATAACACAAACGATAACCGTGGTTATCGTGTTTAGTTTATTTTAAATATGTGGTTTCAATACAAAATTTACCTTACGACTAATTTGACTGACGCTGGCCCTTCAATTTATATACAAATTGGAAGTGGGTCAATATACCAATGATGTTAAAAATAGTGAAAGGTACAAAAGTTTCTAATTTATTTTAGGGTCTGTGGAAATATAGGAAGTTATTATTATATTTTGATAAAGGTATTTAGATTTTTAGAGAAGAGAAAGTACCTATGCATTACAATAGGTCATCAAGCTAGCGTCTAGCAGATGGCCCCCCCAAGAACCTTGTCTGCATCCGCCCCTGAGTTAACTTCAATCGTAGTACTTCAATCGCTCGCCCTGTGAAATTCACGTTTGGGAGCTAAGCTGCGTTTTCTCGTGGACAGTCACAAATTTGCAAAAGATAGTTTGACTTTCTGCCTTCATAGATGTGGATTAAATATTCATGAAAATATGGGTGATATACTAAAAAAGTAAAGCGTGTCCCGCCACCGCCGACTCTCCCCTACACATCCTTATAGAAAATTTCATTCCGCATCTTTTTTTCTTATGAAATTTTTTTCTATCTATTACCGTTTTTGAAATATTTAGGAAAAACTGTTTTTTTGAAAACTATAAATTTAATGACATTTTTCACTTCAACTCGCGATATTTCAGACAATTTAAAAAATTTTTTAATGAATCAAAAAAGAAAATACGTCTTAAGGTATTCTACAAATGATAAAAAAGGAAAAAGTGGTTTTCTTTATAAACAAAATTGTTATTAATTTTTTTCTTTATTAATGTAAAAATCACGAACTACAATCTTCACGTAGAGTTGCATATCGAGCGAGACGATAGAGAAATATGGAAAAACGAGAATCATTCTCGTTTCCTTTTTAAGCGCCTCGTCTCGTTCTCGTTTTATAAGACGAGATTTTCATTAGACGAGCGAGAAATTTATAATAATTAAATAATTCAACTATCTGTAATATAAAGAATTGGCGTTTGTTGTTTTTATCATAGAAATTCGATAATTAGAAATTTATTGTGTGGAATCTATTGCTTTTACATTATCATAATTATTATAATTACCTTTTTATTATAAAAGTTAATAATAAAAATAATAGTTTTATTTTTTTGCGACAAAAACTTTTAAACAAATAATATTATTAATAAAATG